GAGTCAAGATTCAACAGTCATTTCAAAGTTGACGAGCAACAATTTTGCAGGGTTCACGTATCTTCTGCACAGTTCTTATTCTGTCCTGCATTTGAAGTCTTCTTGTTAACAGATTTTTTTTTTCACAAGCCTTCGGGGGCATCCACTGAGTATACTGTGTTAAAATACACGTCGGACAGGGCAAAAGTCCATAATTAATTTCATCTCTCCGACGCAAATCCATCTTTGAAATAGCTGTTCGCGGTACCCGCTGCTACATCTGATTCCAACCAGCCAGCCGACACTGGCAAGCTCGGTGGTCGAGTGGTCAAGACATCTGCACTAGTAAGCAGGAGGTCGTGGGTTCGGGTCCCACCCAAGTACGCTTGTGGGGTTTTTCACAAGCCTTCGGGGGCATACACCGAGTATACAGTGTTAAAATACACGTCGGGCAGGGCAAAAATCCATGATCAATGCTCACAGATTCTGTCTCACATTGGAAAGAGACAGAAACAGATATTTTTTATTGCTACAGGTTTATATTCCATTCTACATCTGAGCCGATTAATACTACTCCATGACTGTCAAAGCGCTCATGCACATGTCTACCGGGTGCATTTTCTGGCATAACTGATGAACACTTTCTATTGTGGGGAAGCCTGCGTATCTGCGGATTTTAAAGCAATTGAGATTGGAATTGACAAACTGATTTCAGTTTCTTGAATAAATGTCTCTTCAACTCTGCAGCGCTGTGGGTCAGATGCTAGAAAACAGTGACTGTTGTTGCTTGTTGCAAAGTAAAGCTAGCAACCAGCTTTGATCTTAAATCGTTTGATTTTCCTTTTAGAAACCTAAGGAAAATAAAACACTCCACCGAGGGAAGAGAATTTTACAGCAACCAAAGTCAAACCAGGAGTTGGTGATGTAGTTTCGACCATATTTGACTGATCCCACAAAATGAGTCTTAAGGTCATTTTTGTCAGTCAGTGTGTTTCACTCGGTGCTAGTAAGAGCAAACATAGTTCTTTGTTTTGATCTGTCACTCAGTTTGGCGTCCTGACAAAAATGAACAATTGGTAACAAATGTTGAGGGTTCCAATGGATTTAAACTGAGCAAGGTTATCTTAAAGGACCTTCAACTCAAAGGTGGATCAGGTGACATGCGACTCATGTCGCTGCGCTGGGCCATATTCAAGTTACCTGCTTCATCCTGGGAGTAGTGGAAGTGTAGCGTGTTGGACTGGACGACCACAAACCCCTCGCCCATGTACCGAGGAGGCCTAGAGACAGACATAAAACAAAAATAACATACCCACAGCCTTAAACTTTACACAGTTGGGCCTAGATCTTGTATACTTTACAGCATCATCCACACGTCCAAGGATATCCTGGGAACAGGATCTCACAGAATGGAACATAACCCTGCATATCCTGGGTAAAGGACTGGCCAGGGCTCAGAACATTTCCATTTTGGGGTGCAGCACCAGTTAAAAGCAGTAGCAATGTATGGGAACCAGCAAACAAACATCAAAGGATGCAAGTGGTAAACAAACCTTCCTTCCAAGATACTCCCTTGAACAATTGTTCTTGAAGGTTCCTGGGTGAACTGCGACAACGTTCACACACATGTATTGGTTGTGTCAAGTTTTCACAAAGCTTCCAGGGCCAATGTACATTGTACAAACAAGTAAGAAAATCCTGAATTCTACACTACCCTAGATGTCCTGGATACCGGATCTGAAAGTTTCAAACATAACTCTGGAATATTCAGGAAGCAAGGGGATTAATTGCACTTTTTTTTTTTACATTTTAAAGGGAAGTAAAGACAGTTTCGATTAAAACTAATATTTCCTGTGATTGGACAAAATTCGCAATGTGAAATTATATTTGCAAACAGGGATCATATGCAAGTTACAACAATTTTTCGAAAACTTTGGAATTTGGGGCTGTGGTGATAAATATCACTGATGACAAGGCCTTTAAACAATGGAGACTCTTTCGGGCACTGACAGCTTTCCTCTTCCTTTGACTCATATTCCCATCGTAACACTGGCAGTAAATCTGGACAAAATGTTACATCCCCAAAAAAATCAAGCCAAGTGAGAATATTTCATTTGACTCAGTGTTTGCCTACAGTGCATGTTCAGTTCTCTTTGAGCGATGAAACCTGTGAAACGCTCGTTCTCACTAGACAAGAAGAACCAAAACCACAAAACCATGACTGACTGGACACCTACTCGTCTGTCGGTCCTTCAAATTTTGGGCTTGGCGCCAGGATGACCTTGAACTGTTCCCCTTCACAGAGGACCTCATGCATGAAGAAATCCCAGGGAGCTGAGGGAGACCGGGTGGTGTAGGAGCCTTTGGCATCTTCAATGCTCAGGATCAGCACACTGGGGACAAAGGGATTGCCGAAGACGGTACGACCCTGGAAAATGAAACACAAGAAAACGGATGACAGATAACAGAATCGCGACAAAGTGAAGTGACATTTTTCAAAAATTGGGTTGCGGCTGTAGATCTTTTTGTGATCTATAACAAAAATTTCTAAAAAAATTTACACTCCCAGCACCCACCTGCATCTATACCCTTTTATTTTCTCTAATATGCAAGAAACCAATGACACTTTCTATGAACCTAAACTTTCAAGGGGTTGCTAAGCTCCATGCAAAAAGGTTTAGCCTTCCTCAATCCTACAAAATCTTTCAAAGTATCCCAATGGATTTTGAAGGATCTAGGAGAGTCGTACTTGAGTTGACATCCAAAAATACAAGCTGCCATCTTTCCTTGAGAATAAGTGACTTGAAAATTGAAATGAGCACTCACGTTATGAATGTCAAACTTAACAACGCCGACAAAATCCCTCCAGTCCAGAAGAGCTGGTCTAGTGTTTAAAGACGACGACTTGGATCTGCCCGGGGGGGGAAGCCCACAAGAATAAAGGTGCCAGAAACTCATGAGTACAAGACTGACAAACAATTTCCAAAACTGAAGACTAAAAACTGAAAACTTAAAAAAAATAACTTTGCCTGTTACACCTCTAAATATGTACGTAGAAAAATACTTTGCAACACGGGGAACGTGAATTAGCTTTTTTTCAACATAAGAGAAACAAAATATTTGTACTAGTAACAAATATTTCACACATGCATTGATCAGCAGGTGACACGGTACACGTAAATGAGAACAAATTTATGCAAGGCCAAAACAAAATAATAGTTGTGCTTCCTATTAGGGCACCCTCGTTAAATTCTATGGTTCTCATTTCTTTTACCACTTGAGATAAGGTCGGTCAGTCGGGAAAAAAAATTACATGTTGCTGGTGTAGTGCTATGCACGAACCTCAGTGGGCTACGGAAAGGTACGGTATACTGAATGTTCACCCGAACATAGACCATCGCTGTTGGTCGTTTGCAAAATCGTAAGTTTTCAGGGCTTTTGTTTTCAAAGGTCATGCTGGCCAATTTTTTTCCCTTCAGTTTTTTCGGGGTCTTTAGCAGGATCAGCGGGGGAAAAAATCGATCGGGATCGTGATCGGGAGCCCAAAATAGGGTCGGTCGGAAATGAGAACCACAGAATATAAAAAGGGTGCCCTTACATTGAAAAAAAAAAGTTGGACAGGTGGGTAGTATCTTTCTTTTCTTTTAAATTTTTTGGGTTAAAATTTCAGGGTAGAAATTTTTTTTTTATTAAAAAGTGACTTTGATGGTCCGTGAAAATTTTTTCGGGAATGTGAAAAGGGTTTTGAATCGAATTGACAAGCAGGCAAAAAATAGAAAGGATCTATGGTCAGGTGGCTTAAAATGTCTGTTGAGAAGCAGCTTGGGTTTGAATAACTCATACGGAAACTATTATCTCCAAGTGTCTGCAATAATCTGTCGGGAATTTGACATCTGACCTTTTATCTCCTGAGCCCGTACTCTCTTGCGATTCCGTTCCTGTGTCTGTCTTGGGCTGGAAGGACTTCTCAATTTCGTTGTAGACGCTGGAGATATTGTAACAGTGGAATTCAAGCCCATTGAGCAGAACGTAGACCCTGCTGACACACTGCAGGGCATCTGTGTTTTGAGAGACAGAATCACAATGGCAAAAAAAGCATTCACTGATTGCATTCAAGAGTCCAGACAATCAATCTTCTTGGATGCACATTTTGTGTAACATACCAACTACATTGTACACTGTATGCAACATCCTTTTGGGGTGAAGCTTATTCAGAAGTGCACTCTTGTCAACATTTCAAATTGTCCATGGCTGTCTGAACGATTGAGACTGCTGGTGCTGCGATGCAGTTTCTAGAAGACAGTGATTTTAAGTAAAATGCATTGAACTGTTCCTCTAGTATCTGCTTTTAACATTAAACCTCTAGGAGTGGGTTTCATAGGACCTCTACCTATCTTTTGGTAAATGAAAGATTGTACTGAAATTGGAACATTTGGGACTGTTGGAATTATTGAAAATGTGGGGCTTACCATCCTTTTGTCCTATTGGCTGATACTGTCTCCACCATCTGAGAATTAAGAGGCCATCCTGCACCCTGATTGGTCAAAAGTATGGAGCAAACTTAGGAACTACTACTGTGTCATGTAAAAATCCTTTTTGTCTGAGCATGCTGAATGAGCGCAGATGGAGCTCAATCTCTCGGTAGTAGTCAGCAAACAATTTTTTGCTTGCAAAACCTCTGTCCATTCCTGGCGAGCGTATTTTACAGGTTAGCAAGGAAATTTGGATCATGCGCACGTACAAATTCAGTAACCATGGTAACTAAGGATACTGTGCCAACTTGGTTGGCGTGGAATTTTTGAGCTCAGGCTGTAAGCAAAGAAGTTTTTATCGTACATGTTCATGTAAGTGCAGAATTCAGTGGTTAGCAAAGCCATAAAATTGTGCCAAAATGGAGAAGGTGAACGAATAAAATTTATGGATATTTTACACAAGACTCCCCCAAAATAATAAAACGAAGTTATAGGACACTTCACTGCCAGTCCTGAGGTTGCCCATGTTCAAACGCATTTTTAAAGCAAGGGCACTTACATGTACACTTTGTGTACATTCCAATGAAAACTGGTCATGCCTACTCCATGCCATATTCACCTAAAACCGCGACACTCACATGGTGCGTCCCATACACTGGCTTTGTCGGGCTTGTCTTTGGCTCAAGAAAAACATAGGCCTTTAACGGACCAAGTGAGAGAACCAATATCCTCGATTTCATATGGCAAAGATTTGGATTTATGTGCCCTTGGCTCAAAATAGGCAAATATTCGACAGAAAGCCAAAGTCAAAGACAAGGTTTCATAAACTGCTTGAACTCAGGCCAAGTTTCGTTAAAATGTGCACAAATTCACCGACTGGGACAGGGCTGGAAAAGATGGCAATGAGATCTGTAATAAAATGTACCTGCAAGCATAGTCCGCTGTGATGTAGGCCACATCTCGGAACATCAATTTTCCAGACAGCACCGAGAATGAAATGGAGCCTGTTGGTGCAAGATTTCAAAGACACCGGTAAAAGTAACTTTCTGATCACTTTACGCCAGATAACAACTAAACAAGCAGGGCTTTTCAGTGTCCATAACGAAAGCTGTGTAACTCTGTCTTGCCAAATCCTGTACACAATACTAGGGATATCTATCATCATCCTCACGTTTGAGTGATTCCGTTGAGTCTGAACACACACACACCCAAGTGTGTATTTGCCTGCAACTGGGGACCCCCTATTGTTCCTCTTTTGTTTGTACTTTAACTTTTTTAGAAGACCGCCCATATGTTTTGTACACAGTTGTCAATCGGGGACCCTCTGTCAATCGTGGACCTTATTGTCCTCTATTGTTCAGGGACCCAATTGAATGCAGAAACAAACTCAGAGGCTGGAGCTGGTCCGAGGAGGTTGTGTGTGCGTGTGAAGCCCTCAAACAGTGAGGGCCAAAGACAGGCACTGTAGCAATATCACTCAGGGACAAAAAATGTGACAAATTGTGAACAAAAAACCTCATGCATCAATTTTGGTTGGTACTTTGGACCCAAAATAATTTTGAGCCTAGGTCAAATTGGTTACGGGGAAAAAAATCATCCATTAAGCAACTGCCCTTTTTTCAAGCAGTTTTTCGGGGGGGGTGTCAAATTGGCGCAGTAGTACTTTCCTGAAATTTCTCCTCTGCGTCCAAAGTTCGAATCCTACTGCGACCAACCGGTGGATTAGGGTGGTCAGACCTGACTCGGTTTTATGGACATTTGTTCTTTGCATGCTGCCGCCATGGGCAGGGAGAACCTCAAACTGGCACCTTGTACAATCACGTCAGAATCACTTTATCCATTGAGCAAGGAACAGATTATTCCATCACATGATATAAGAACTAACGGAGCACGTGCAAAATTACATAAGCAACATACACTGGAATCACTGAACCGGCTATGTTTATTGTGTTAAGCAGCCAAATCGGAGGCTCTACATGCCTACGGTATGGCAGCGGCATGGAAAGAGTGAATTCCCGACCCAGGACAATCCTTGGGGTTTTTCCGATCTCCCAAACTGTAAACGGCTTCCCTTTGTCCACTACCTACAGGTGCATGTATCTCCAGGCTTACAAGCTACAATACCTTGGGTGGCTTTACAGAATCCTAGGCTTCATTACCAGAAATCGCTGCTAATTTGTGGGGATTGAGGTCTGCTTGGTACTTCTTTCTTTCCCTTCCACCTCTGCGGTCCGGGTTCGATTCCCACCTCGGTCCGCATGTGAATTGAGTTTTCAGTCCATACCTGATTCTGTGAGTTTTACTCGGAATAGTCCTCTGGGATTTTCCTCCCACCTCTAAAACTCTAACTGCTTCTCATTATCTCCAATCTACAGGTCTCTTCAGGCTTACAAGCTACATGTACAGTGCCTAGGGTACTTCCGAGGAATCCTTGATTTCATCGCCGGAAAGACGTAATGATAACGTAAGACACGACTCACCGACATGTAGATATCCCTCCTTGATGAACCGGTTGGCAATTTTAGTCAGAACAAAGCCCCACCACCGGGAATGATAGTAGGTGATGAAGAGCAACCAGATGCAGGCGCACACCGTGGCCACCAGGGGAAGGAGGAGCTGTTTGAACACCTCCCAACCCCCACCCCCCTCATCAATACTCGCCCCACCTCCCCCCTGCGAGGAGTTGCCTGGACTAGGCGTTGCCATGGCGCATACTCATCACGGCATTCTCAAGAATCAACTGTTTACAGCTGAAAATAAAAGCATAAAAATTCCATTGAGAAATTGTTTTTCTCGATTTGTTACTTGAATTTGAAACACAAACAGGTATGAATGTACTTTTTCTTTTGCTTGAAGACATCAAGCACTGAACTGGAACCCATAACATAGTTACTTGTTTTGCATCCACATCATAGAAAAGTCCATCTTTAACCTTGACCTCACATCCAGCAGCAAAATCCTTTTAGTATTAATTAACTCTGATATGCAGTACTCTTGCCTATTTGTGTGGTGTGCATGAAATATACACAGGAGAATTTAGTATTCATAGAAACGAATAAGTAGGGGAAATTCTACAGAGAACCAGACATAACGTAGCTTAAAAACAGAAATTTAGTCCATCTTCTGAACTAAGTTTACGCAGGCACCAAAACAACAAATGTGGTACCAGATTGAAGAATTAAAGGGAACAAAATGACCTCTCATTTGAGGGGTAGGCCAAGAAGATGTAACATACATGTAGTTAAGAGCATTTTTGTCACATATCCGTTTCTGTGAAAAATAATGGATTTTTATTTTTTGTGGCCACTTTGGCCCCTTTTCTAACGATGACAAAGTACTTATTCTTTTGTATGTACTCTGCTTGAATAATAATCGTGGCCAGGAGTACATGATATGATTACACTTTGCTGTGAAGTTATTTATCAAAGGGTCACATGCATGGACAAACCAATGCAAGTTATCACAATGCGCGTTACCAGAATTTTGGTCTCTGAACATTCTATCAGTGCTTAAAATCACATAACAATCATACTGACTTGTGACTAACACCCTCATGTAACAAGGGCAGGGCTCAAATTAGTACTAGTCCGGGTACAAATTCCAATGAAAAATTGCTCCGGGCTACCCAGACTAACTTCCTTGATTGCCCAGTGGGCTAGTGAAACATTCAGTGACCTGCCAGTTAAAATTAAGTTCCAAGTACAGGAAATGCTTTGGGTATTAAATCTTGGACATCTAACCTTTTATTTCTCAAAATATTAACTTCAAAAATGTCTGAAATAAAAGTCTTAATTAAGGGTAGAAATACAAAAAAAATAACTGAAATCCCAAAATGTAAACAGGATAGATAAAATCTTAACGAGCTAGTAAAATCTGCAGTTAGCTAGCCCAGTGGGCTACCCAGGAAAACAATTAGCGCAAGGCCTGAAGGGCACAGCAAGGTTTGTACACGTACAATATGAGACAGGGTTCAAATCAACAGTAAACAAATTTCTGCCATGTCTTTTTTTGGTGACAGGAGTTCCTGAGAGTTTGTTGAATACTTTTTTCTCCACAGTCTAGTTATTGTGTTTCTACGTGTATGGATATTTTAGGGGAAAACTACTATTGATGCCATGCAGATATCAAATTAACAACACACAGTTTTAAGTCAGATTACAATAAATGTACATGTAACTACCGTCAGACCGTGGATTCGACCACTATTATTCTGCCACAGTGTAGTATCACTTCCTCAATTACCGGTAATTCCTAAGTGGTCAGGGTTAATCTCATTAACATGTATTTAAGTTTTGACAAGACAGAAAAATTGATAGAGCGAGGTTACTTGTATTTTTGCTTCTGTATTCTTTATACTCTTTTTCACAAAACAGAAAACCAACCCCCAAAAAAATCAAAATTGAAAATTCCATGTAGAAAATACCAAATAAAAGTAGCACTGAACCATATTGTTTCTGCAACCATATTGTTTCTGCAAGTCATGCTGCCAAAAAAGAGATTTTTTTCACAAATTAAATGACAACAGAAATGGACAATTGTTGCCAAATACATGTACATGAAAATACATGTTAACGATCTTAAAAGTTTTGATACACTGAGGAAACATTGGGAGTGCCTTTAAACTCTTACACGCTTTTTCCCATGACTTTTCCTGTCGTGGTATGACATTACACACCTGATTTAATTACATTTACACACCATTTCCCGCATTCCCTTCCAGTTCAACATGCCGAGGTCAAACTTGAGCATTTTATCACTTTGCATGCTAACCGTTCATGAACAGTAGTGTTGCAATTTCAGACAAGGGTGTTGGGCACAACTGAGTGACCTGTGTGATCGGTCAATCTCTGTAGAATCTGCAGATCTAATTCCATGATTTCCTTATAATTTTGGCAGAAGCCAATCACCTTCTCTTTTTAATTCTGGGTTGTGGAAAACTTTTGAGGAAAAAAAACAGAGTAAAGTCAGAGATTTCATACAGGATCGACTGCCTCGGCTCTCTCAAACTACCAAAACTGTAAGAATTTCAATCACTTTAAAAAATGATAAAACCCAGTAATTTGGGTCAGTAAATTCCCTTTTCTAATTTCTTTTTGGGGGGTCGCTATGTATTCGGCACGACACCAAGCAGAGACAAAAATCAATAAATGAAGAGAATGTAAAACAGCCGAGTCGCAGGAACTTGGGTGATTTGGGGGGAAAGAATTCCATATACAGATTCCAGTCATTTTTTCCTTGTATTCACCATTGTAGTGACCCATTAGCCGTCTGAAAGCAACAAAGTCTTCCAAATATTTAAAGTCAAATCGAACAGTAAAAATATTGAGGTATTCACAAAGAAAACACTTAGAATAGTTCCGACCAGTGTTCTAGGGTCTCTGCACAGGGGGGTGCATTCACCGTTTTGACTCCTGAGTGCTGGAAAATGGTGGACGCACATTACTCTTGCATCAAAAGTATATAGGCCTACTCCTGTTAGGAGAGTATATTCCTGCTGACCTGCAAGTCATACTCTTGCCAATTGGGAGTAGGCCTATACTCATGTTAACACGAGTAGCACACTCGAACCATGGAGAAATTCTCCATGCTCGAACGCACCCCGCAGTGTCACGCAGCATCTGTATATGGAATTCTTTATGGGTCCATGCCAAATCATGTTTACTGACTTAATTTGTGAACGAACAGCTGAAGATTATCCATGCTGTCATGGCTGTAAAGATAATGTGTCCAACATTATCTTCACAGCCTCAAGCTTAAGCCTTACCTAAGATGTGTAAAAACCTGATTGAAACACACAAGTACTGTAGGTAGACTAGAGTCGTCTATTACCTCAAGCTTGACAATCCAATGTTATTTTCTCCTTATAATTTGAAGAGCGCCCTCAAATTCAAAACAATAATGTCGGAAATAAGTCGACTTGACGTTGGCCTACCCAGCCTGTTCACCGTGCATGCTCAATTTGCAGCCGTGTCAGCGAAAATGTCAGCACAATTCGGAAGAAACTTCATGTCTCCGAAACTGCAAGAAACTCAGACACACATTCATTTTTCTGAAAAGAGTCTATGGCCGTGTTTTGCAGCAGAGCTTTTCGACCGTCCATTGATCAACGAAGCAATATTTGCCCAATGGTGATTTACTGACACATTTACGTACCACTCATGCGTAGCAAGCCGCTCCTCCAAAACAATTCGGCAAGCATCGACGACCTCAACGCCCTATATACTTCACAGTCACTAGAGCGACTTGAGAGACGACTACAAGGAGCCATAAAATTAAACCCAACTAAGAATTATAACCCAAATTAAAATAACTTTGCCTTATGTCTTCCTCCCTCCATACTCATAGTATTTTGAAACAAAATACCTGCAGGTTAACTATTGACACCATAACAATTTTCATAATAAAAATTTCATCACAAATATAACAATGCATTTTAATTCGCTCTTATAAGTCTGGGGTAATAACAAGACGGCTTGATACATCATGATACAACTTGATGTACGCAGACTGATACAAGTTTGTTCATTCACACTGCACGTATGCCATGATGGAAAGTACCCTATACTAGAGCATTTCGTGTACACGCGTTTTTTCGCTGGGTGACCGACTAGTCCGTGCACTGCGTGTTTGGGATTCAACATGGCGCTCGTTATGTCGTGTGCTTCACGGTTTGTGTGGGGTTTCCTCCTTGTGGTCGCTGTGTCGTCGCTGGGCGGGGCCGACGAAGCTTGCTACAGCTACGGAGGGGGGCATGTTTACCCCGGAGAGGGCCTGAGATCATCAGAGCATGCCGTGCACTGGAGCAAAGTGCAAAGTATGGCCAGCCAAATTTCGTCGTGATTGGGCGGGGCCAGTCAGGGAGATTGGAGGGGGTGCATAGGGCAGGAGGGGCGGGGCAACTTGTGAAGTTTAGGGGGAGAAAAAATACACCAAGGAAGTTTCAATTAAATATTTTGCATGAGAGATCAGGGTCAGTTTGGTGAATAATGCCGGCCTATGAATTGGTTGTTAGAAATGATGAAATTTCCTCAAGTTTTATATTAGGGCCTAGGCCTACATGGCCTGACATTAGGCCCAGTACTAACCTCTTTCTTGAAAACTTCAAAACTCATGTGGTTATAAACTGGTACACCTACATGTAGGCCTAGGCCTATTCCCGTCATGAACATGGTGATGGTGTTGAACCTTTGTAAACAATTTCAGTTTTCTGAAATTTCATTTGAAATCAAACTGTTGCCATCCATAAATTGGGCTCAAATTTGGTTGGGTCATGGAGGTTGGGTATTCCCTAATATGGCACACTTGAAAAAAATCTCAAAAATCCCACATTGACATTTACAAAATAATTTGACGTTGATAAACTTTTATAAAGCATCATTACTTCCAATCAAATATCCACCCACAAGTTTGTCAGAAAATTAATTCTTTTCATGTGTTAGGGCAGAACTTCGCACGCCGGGTAAAAATCAGAAAATTGCGCAAAAATAAAATTTCATCCACACTTTGTAACACTAACAGTTACGTGAAATCAAGATTTATGAATCAGAGCATTAGGAGTTTGATGAAGTTTCACAAATTGTGGAATTGGAGCTGGAAATATTGCTCCATTAAGACACAGGAAACAAAAAAATGAAAGTGCTTCACACTAAGGGCCACACCACCTTAGGATACATCAACAACAGGCCCGGCTTACTTCAGATTGAGCAAAATTTGGAACTGTTGCTCTGTCCCAAATTTGACTTTCATTTATCATGTATTGAGCGGGGATCATCATCACTTTGACTGATGAAAATGTTTCCTCTGTTGTGTTGGTTTGACTAAAATTGAAAATCATTCTGACCAAGGCATATACTAGGACCTACATGTTTAGATTTTTAACCCTTAGGTGGTTTGCCAAACAGTGGGCTTAAAGGAAAAGAAACTGCGATTTCTAAAATGTTTGTCTCGTATACATTTCATTCATGACACATAAAATGTTCAGTTTCCAGCAGGCCCCCAGTACATTTCAAATACTTTAGACCAGAAGGATAGTAATTTTTGGAAAAATAGAATGAACAAAATGTGAGTCTCTCAAATGCCGTTTGAAAAAGCATTTTCGGTATCAGCATCCCATGGCAATCCAGCGAAGTAGATTCAAAGCCATTGTCCGTACCGAGGCTCCTCAACTTCTGGTAATTGTCATTTCGTCCACTTACAATCACCAGGCTAAGTGGTCCTTCAGAACAACCATCTGTGGCTCACTGAAGTTGTGTTAATGCCCATTGTCAGATGGTCAGTGCATTGTTCAGTTCCACAAGTGGATTTCACAGTAATACATGTACATGTAGTGTTAACAGTGCAGTCGCCTTTTTCTTTAATGTGCACTTTCCTATGGGGGCTTGATAAATTTATCGCATCCCACGTCACTGCTCTAGGAAAGCGAGTAGACAAAGCGTGACATCATCATGTTCTAGGTTTATTCTCGATATTCATTGTGTGCAAAACACCTACAAGTAGCGAGTGATGTCTGATTTGTATAAAATGATTTTTTTTACTATAACGTGAGTATCTTTTTTTGTACTTTTTTGTAATTTAGTTTCCAAGCCTGCACCCACTTTTGAGGGAACAGCCGTTGTCAACGGTGAATTCAAGGAGTTGAAGCTGACTGACTACAAAGGCAAATACCTTGTCTTGGTCTTCTATCCTCTAGATTTGTAAGTGATTATCAACAACCCTATCACACTGTCAGCTTGCCCTCTGAAATGACCCCATCCCACTCTCTGAGTCTGAACCAGCCCCAAGTCCACCCTCCAACCCGACCCCCTAGTCTACCCTTCTGCCAAATCCCCATTGCACCCTTCAACCAATGTGATCCGTCCCACCTTCCCACCCAATTCCCCCTCCCACCTTCCTGTACCCAACCTCACCCCGCCCTCCAGACCAGCCCCAGTCAGTCTTCCAACCAAGGTCCAAGCCCGACCTCAAGACCGACAACCCCCCCAAACCATACTGCCAGGGCTTAGCTCAAAATGCCGAGTTGACAGCCTGAACAAGTTCAGTTATTTCAGTTTTTGTTAAGCACTGCGGCCAGTGTATTTTAAATAGACACCATCTTGTCCCCAGTTTTGTCCAAAAATGTCAAATTTGGAAGGTTCAGGAATGATGAAATTCCAGGATGGCTTTAATTTTGTGTGTGTGTTTGTGGAAAGAAATTTGATAAAAATGCCAAAATATCAATCACAGACAACTTACACGAGGCAAAAGTTTCCACATGGTAACTTCACACTAACATGAATATCATGTTTGTTTGAAGTGTAAAGCCATATTTTCCCTTGCAGTACGTTTGTCTGCCCGACAGAGATTATCGCATTCAGCGACCGCATCAGCGAGTTCAAGGAAATCAACGCAGAGGTAGTCGCTGTGTCCGTAGACTCACAGTTCACTCACTTGGCATGGTAAGACAAAATTCAGGAGAGTAGACACGTTGATTTGAAACTTACAACAAGTGAGGAGTTCCCCTTGTATCATAATCTCCAGCATAATGCAAATATTTTGCTGTTTAATGTTTTTTTCATATTTTTCAAATTGTTTTTGACTTCATACACCATTCCTGTTTTGTTTGTAAAGTCGATCCTGTGTTTTTCTCAAAAATTATTAAAGAAAGAAGTCCATTGGTAAATTTAGACTTTTGCATTTTAAGGTTTTATAAACAAATGATACATGTATTCAGCTGTTGTTTGATGTTTATTATTTGTCAGGATAAACACTCCCAGGAAGCAGGGCGGCCTTGGACCAATCCAAATTCCCCTTTTATCTGACTTGACTCACCAAATATCCAAAGATTACGGTGTGCTATTGGAGGATTTGGGCCATACACTCAGGTTTGTTACACTCTGCGTCCTACTTCTGTTTATGCCTCCTTAAAATATTATTCACAGGTGGCACCCTTTGCGCAACGCCTTTAGAAACTGTTGAATTTTCTCGCTGTTCAACGCTGATCGTTTGATTTCCACTGTTAGACAACTTTTTACTAGACATGTGCTGTTGGCGCAGTCATGACTCTTCACAAAGAGAGGAAGAACACTGTACTGCAGTAGGCACGGTCGCGGTCGTTGAGGCATTAATCAATTCGTAATGACTTCATGTTGCAATTTACATCTGAATTAGCAAATGATACTGTGACTTGTACAAAAGGAAGATTCATTTGGGTGTTGAAGAAAACAAGTAATGAATATTTCACATTTGTACAATGGAGAGAATAATCTCACGAGGTGAAGATTAGAAGTTCCATTCCACACGGCGACTCACCACTGCACTTATAACAACAATAATAAAATTGGTTTTTATAAAGCGCCTTTAACATGGATCAAAGCGCTGTAAATCATTATTATCCCTGCTTACTGGGCCCATGAAACATTCCAAATACCATCTTAGCTCCCTGGGGAGTATACAGCTCGATGCAGCCACTATGCGGTGTAAAGCAGCTAAATCAACCACAATAAACCATCTCTGCCCTCACGGGTACGCAAATACCCCTGGGTGGAGAGAGGCAATGAGTGGCAAAGTGCCTTACCCAAGGGCGCACGCACTATGACCCCAGACTGGATTCGAACCCGCAACCTGCGGCTTTACCCGCCGACTACGAATCCGATGCTCTTAACCATAAGGCAGCGGCACTCCAAACACTTCAAACTCCACTTAGAAGCATTCACTAATAGTATCCTATCATAGCTATGTACATGTGTCAATAAAAACCCATTTGTGGAATGACAGTTGATCTGCTGTGCTGCTGCTGTGCCTTAAGCCATGTCCAAATCATTTTGTGTCTGTGGCTTTGCTGTGGTTTTTGCTATTTGCATCGTGTGCAAAGTAGAGGTAGCCATAGCCGTACACAGTAGTTTCTTTTTCATATGCAAAGCGTCACTTACTCACTACTGGCAGGTAGACTCAAGCTGGAAAGGAATCGGTAAGTTTTAGGCAATCAAAGCTATCAGGAACCCAAAAATAGGTTTCTGAGAATGTTCAGCAACCATCTTACTCTAGATTTTGTTTTTCTTCTTTCATGTCAATAGGGGGCTGTTTATCATTGACGGCAACGGCGTTTTACGTCAGATCACTATGAACGACTTGCCCGTAGGCCGTTCGGTAGACGAAACTCTCAGGTTGGTGCAGGCGTTCCAATACACGGACAAAAATGCAGAAGTCTGTCCGGCTGGTTGGAAACCAGGCAGCGACACTGTAAGTGACCATTCTTTGAGAACCCCCCAAAATTTCTATATTTAATTTTCCTCTGTTTTTCACACAGTTGACACTTGTTGCGTCAAATCTTGCGAAACATGACCTCATCCTTTTGCAGTTGTCTGATTTGTCTGAAGTCAGTGCAGCGTATAGTTTTGGGAGGTATTTTTGTCGTTTCTTTATAGCTATGTTGTATTCGAGTCCGATCAAGTCCCTTCACAAGGCCAGTCACAAGTAACAGGGTGGACAATGAGAAAGGAATGCTTTTGTCGCAGTTTATTTGAATAGCTCGTGAATTGGCTATAGACTGAATGTACACCTGTTCAAACCTTGTTTGTAAACAGCACCCGGCAACCACCCCAACATTATGTTGTGATTGGCTGCCCATGAAATATCAATATTCATGTATGCATTAGTGGGACTCTTTAAAGCCGCTTGTGCGTCAGTGGAAGTACTGACAAACAGTCTCCGGTATTTTATGTAGCGCGCATTTCATGGCCACCGTAAATATGCGGCTAGAAATTAGATTAGTAAATTTCCACTTTTGCCGATAGATTGAGGGCTGCGTGGCAATTGGCATGGGGCAAAGAAAGTGTGTTTTACGTAATTACATGGCTTTTACATGTTCTGTGTGTATCATAAACAGTTTTGGGGACATAGACTCATGTGTCCGTGCAACACCAGTGTATGAATTGTCTGAAGAGGGTGCGATTTGGATGCAGTCTTTGACTAGACCAATCCTCAAGTTGAAAATCCGTAGAAATAAACAAGGATGGAGACATTTTACGGCTGGCCAGCGGGCAGGTGACAAAATCCGCGCCAGGAAATTCCAAAAGCGTAGACATGTGATATGCATTTCAAGATTTCAAATTCTGAAAACGTGGTCAAATCAGGTGGGAATAGGGCCATTTCGCTCTCCAACCTCGATAATCTATTTCTCGTGTGATTATTTTATGCCTGAAGAAGTGTTGATGCACCTAGTCCGAGTTACTGGATCAGACTAGACCCAATCCAGACAGGTGGTCCAAACAATCATGTGGAGGAATTTGCTCATTTTGGGCAATGTACGATTTTTAAAATGGAAAATATGACTTTTGAATTTTCAGAATACAGTTATGTTATCCAAGAGGTTGTCAGGTCTGCAATCAGTGATAATGAAACGGTTCATTTTTCATATTTGCAAAAGAGAGCAAATTTTCTGTAATTTTATCTGTTAAGTTTACACTTCTCTTCACTGATAAATAATTGGAAAGGGACTTATTTCTAGATTGGAAATTTAAATTAAACTTTTAAGTTGTGCTTTTCTTTTGAATTTCTTGACAGATCATTCCCAATCCAGAGGATAAACTGAAGTATTTCAGCAAGCTGCCTGAGAATGATGACTAGCTTCATCATGTCACCATCACCCCACTGGAAAAGGCACGGCCAGTGGTGTGGATGAGCTAAACTTGTCACAAGTCTCCAAAACACTACACCTTTTTGAGTGAACTGGTTTATGATTTCATAAAAGTGCATTGTTTCTGTTCTTTAGTTTGTGAATTCTTAGTCTGCAAAGAATTACTGAAACGTTTGTTGTAGTGGTACAACCTCAAGGAACATAAAAGTTCTCAAGAAATTTCAGTTCTGTTTGTATTGAGATGGTACATGTATTGGCTCTGCATGAACCAGAGAGGGCGCTTTGTTACCTATCAGTGGCTTTACTTTGGGTCGACAACCACATACAGATATTTACGCTTCACTGGTTAACGCACTCTACAGCATTCCTTGTGTTTTTTAATAAACATTCGCCAGGGGAGCCAGTTAGACTGTTCCTGCTCCTGCCATCGCCATTGCCATTTCAACTCCAGTAAAAGAGTCAGGAACCAGGCTGTCGACCCACCCTTTGCTGCCGCGATCTGTGGAGGGGAACTTGGATAAGTCCGTGGCTTACGCAACACATTATGGTGTGACTCGCGCAATCATTTTTATACGGTGGCATACATTGTGCATGTTGTGAAGCTACAACCATGTTAGGTAAAATTGGGTGTCTGTCGGCCAAGAATGCCCAATCATGACCAGGACTGCATGATCAACTGTCCAGTGAGGGAATGTCCGAAGTCGGCCGTGTGCACTCACGTAAGACATGCACATCGTGCGGCTTTGAAGCTGTGTACATTGTGTCATGTGTGTGGTGGCCCATATGGCTAGTGGGCAGGACTTCTTGTATCAATTCATTGGGGGGGTTGGCAGTCAAAAATTTACAAGTTTGAAGTCGCATACAGATAATGGAAGCCATCACGCTGAGAACTGATGTGGTTCTTTTCAACCATTTAGAATGATTTTAGTTAATGAGATCCTTTTCATCTATACCTATGGTTTTAATTGTGCATTCAGTGGCCAGTTCGACATTGTTATAGTGATACAGTTTTCATGACAATTATTGAAAATTGCTTTCAGTATTTGTGATTATTACATTTGTCCACTTTTTTTCTTCACTTTTGAATTTCTGAAAAATTTCCCTGTATTTTGATTCAGTTTCAGGATTTCTCTTTGTCCTTTATCTCCTTTAATTTTTCCAATATTTACATTTCGTTGACTGTTTATTTTCAAATGTTGGAGCAGGTTTTTGATTTAATAGATCATTTTCTTTGAAAAAGTGGCATCACCGAATGGAAAAATCTCGTCATCCACTGAACAAAGCATTTGTTCCTTCAAACAGTTCATAACGGGCTCGACCAAAGAGGCCAAAGTCCACGTGGAAGTCATTTGTCACAATCGGTGACTGGCTGTAGCAAAGAGTCCCAAGTTTGACCTCTGGACTGTTTCCTATCTGAGCAACTGAAAGAGCACTTTCAGTTCGTTACGTCGACACCGTTTAGGATAAAACTTCTATTTGGCACAAAAGACTGACAGGTTGTACTTGGTATTCTCTGTGCAGTATATGCCAAGAGCCCTAGAAATTCATAGCTAATAACTCATGTTATGTTGGACTCGCTTTGCTGGATCAAGTCACATTTGGATACCCGGCATTAACTTTGGGTGGAAAACTTTGAGTATTCTGAACATAAATACATAGTACATGAAATGTACAAATAATTGAATGAATAATTGAAGAGGCCATGGTTTTTATATTTCAGCCATAAGCGGTGATTGTCAAATATTTTCTGTGAACTTTGTACTTTGTAGCCAGTGCAGACAGCACTGCGATGCAAAAATTAAACGTACTTACTCTTACAATATCTGTTCATTGGAAGTTTACCGTTGTCTGATTTCGTCGTGTACCTTCCAATCTCACGACCCATTTGATAAACAGTCCAAGCCTCGCCTCTTGCAAGTGGAGTGAGTTTTTCACCTGGATTGCCTCAGCATGAATCCCATATGAAATGCCCTCAAGAACAAATATGTACAATGAATCACTCACACTACCAACATACCAACAACAGAGGACAGACTATTTGACATTGTATATTTCTCACATTCAGTCTTGGAAATCCTCACAGAATTAACCCTGGAACTACAAGTTAAACATTTCCCATATCTGGCTTTGTGATATTTCTCTTGTAGTTAAGTCCACAAGTCCTCAATGAACTGTGATAAGAGCATTCCTTTCTCATTCTGTACCCAGCTACAAGTATGACCGCTGTGCGCAGGCTGTGGAAAATATACGGGGGTGCGAGTTGGATCATTTTCTCTCAGGTTTTCTGGCTTTGTTCAATTTTTTCTTCAGAAAATCCCCTTAAATAGTTTTTGCTCTAAAACAGCACAAGGCAATTGACTTACAGCAATCTCGTGTGCTCGAGAATAATCACGATTGTCAAGTTTTTTTTACAGAGTACTGACAATCCTGCTTAGATTAGAAACCACATGTAACAGCAAAAACGATTTAATGGAATTTTCTGAAGAAAATGAACAAGTGAGAGAAAATGATCCAAATCGCACCCCTGTACATTTTCCACGGCCTGCTCACACTTCTTGCCACCACGGCCAGTTGTGCACTTGCATAATTATTAGTGAAAAATGTATCAGTGAAAAGGTCTATTGTGAAGGGACTTTGTTTAATATTGGACTTTTGAAAGGACTTACAAGAGACTGATTTAGTTGGAAAATTGTAACTTAATTGCCTGATACAACCTGATACAAGGTCTCCTGTTCTGCATGTACAGTCTACTTTCATTTGCTGTAGCGATAAATTTTTTTCCTTGTACGTGTATGCTCTTTTGATGGGCAACTCTCCTACACCAACACTTGACTGTTGCACTGAAGCTTTTAGTTTCACATTCAAATCTTCCTATTAAAATCAAGACCCGTCTGCACATTTAGCGTACACAGGGAAATGAATTAAACATGAGCATCCTGTGTGTGTAAAAGTGGGGCGTGGGGGCGGGGGAAGTCCCAAAATTTTCTGGACAGGAAAATGATTTCACAATATGTGTTGGGGGAGAAGGGACAGTCTACTAGGTATTTTGAAATTCTTTACGTCAAAGAAATATTACGTATGCACTTTCTGTCAGTTTTCCTGCTATTTTAAAATGTAAAGAATAACAAACAAGAATTATTGCAGAGCTTGGCAAAAACCCCGCACAACATATTTGTGTTCTGAGCAAAACCTGATCCGTATTGACATAGACTGGACCTGACGGCGGAGGAATGATTTCAAAAGCGGTAAGGCCAGTTGTTAGACCATCCATCACAAGCTATTTATAGGCCCATCCATTAAGCCCATCCCATTAAAGGACCTGCCGAAAGTGTGGGAGGGTACACTTTGGTAAAAACAGCTAATAATAACGGGGTAAATGTGAGCAGCGGTGATTTTCCTGGAGAAGAATGGTAGTGTCAGGAAAAAACAATGGAAGTAAATCGTTCGTTTTCTAGGAAAGAAGCCACAGATTTCCAACATACATGTACATGTAACAATGAAAAGAGCTTTTACGATAAATTTATGGCATTAGGATTTTTATAGGGCAGAGACCAGTGCAAGTAAGTCTGTGGATGAATTTCTAAGTTTATGGTCATTACATGGCTTTAAGTGCACTTCAAGCGCGCATTCTTTTTAAAAAGTTAACACAATAATAAAAAATTGAACAGAAGTTGTGGACTTAAGTTAAAGGTGTACTTATTTTCAACTCGCATTACATGCATGCTTCAACATAATACACACATACATGTAGTTCTAAGACAGTTTCTTGGAATTGGTGTGTTTTATAATCGGTGCTGTAGTGGAGACCATTTAAGACCTTCACAAGACCAGCATAAGACTGCCAGTCTGAATTCAAGTTACAAGCTATTCAAATGAACCGGAACAAAAGCATTCCCTTGTCATTGTTCACCCTGTTACTTGTGACTGGTCTTGTCACAAGTTTATAAATTTGTTTATAAAATTTACAAATTTGCTTGAGTATACAAAAATTGCCCACTGGCCAAATGTTTATTAAAATGTTATATAATTGAATGTAAACAAGTGTTAAGGAATCTCAAAGCAATTTCTCTGGTGAGCCTCTGTTCAACTTCCAACACACGAGTACAAAAATGAATCAAACTGAACCAACGCACGAGTAAATCCGTATCTGTTATTATTTCCAAGTAATATTGCAAGATTTAATTCACTGTATGGCAAAGTAATGTACAAATATCTGACTAAGGATGTGAAATTAAATTAGGCAAAACATGATTCATGTACACTGTACTCAACATAAGCAATTTACAGATAGTCAACTTGTCTATCAATTAAACTCCTTGGGCATATGCGTCATCCTAGTACAAATGTATCGAGCAGGGTTTGTGGGGACCAAATGCAAATTGATCTACCAAGATTACTTCATGCAAGTCATCTATGCAGCTAACATGTTCCCATAAAGCAAGGTTTCTCTTTGCATTTATTCAAGGGAAAAAAATGCTCGTTTCAAAACAATGCCTTTTTTTGCATGATGCCAAACACTTACTAGGGGGGCTGGTTACATTTGTTTCCAAAACAGTTAAACTTCTTTACCCTGACTTTTGAATCAAACATGATGTTCTACATGGGTCAAGTTTCTCTCCATTTTCAACTGAAAATGGATATAATTTTTTTTGTAGGAAACAAAAAACCCGCAAAATTACCCCCCCCCAAAAAAAATCAGGTTACTTTCAATCTTATAATCAAACGCATGTTTGCTGAATTGCAGAAAAGATCTGGGTGCATTATGAAGTTACGCAATAATTTACAACCGATCAAGGCCATCCTCAACCAGACTAAATTCTGCACCTTTGCAAACAAGAGAACAAGCAACACACCATACTTCCACTGACATGAAATCCACTCTCATTCATGCAAGTCGCACCTTTTATTACGGCATACACATATCTGTACTCACCATGCATATTCTTTTCAATTTTATTCACATCCGTGATACACTGTTATGACAACTTGCAGGATTTTTTTTCAACTCAGTTTCCTCCACTCTCGAAAGGTGGAAAACACCGGGTAGAAAATCTGCATTTTCCGCAACAATACACGTAGGAGGCTCAGCACCTGACAAAGCAACACCCTCCACACACAAAGGTAAACATTTGCGACGACTTTGTAACCTCTGTCATTTTTTATTTCTTGTTCTTTCCCTTCTCTCTTTTGGAGCAAGATCTGTTCGCTCAATTTCAATTTGTAAAAAGAACACTCTGCTAAATGGGAGACAGAAGTTTCCTGTTCTGGCAGGCATGACCATGCACGTTTTGTTTATGAATGTAACTTACAAAAATCACAAAAAAGAAAAAAAAAGCATTTTTAACCCCTCGACGACGGGAATTTCTTTCCCCAAAGCTGACTCCAAGAATTCCAGCCTCGCTTGGCCACAAAGCCACCTGCCAAACCGCAAATTCTCGGT